TTGACCCCGGGTATCATTTTACCCTTATAATGGTCAGTCTGTGCCTTACTTAGTCTAACGATCATTTGGAATAAATCGATGAATGTGAACTTCATTTCATTTTGTCATTTGTTTCTTCGTCAGTTTCATTAGGTGACTTTAATAACACTTAAAAATCAAATATCCCCTACTTTTTTTGAATAGTATATTTACATGGCATTGCACATAATATTCACCTGTGATAACTTTGTGTCAGTGAGTGCTATTATAGATAGTCAGTCAGTCACTTATTCAGTCACTTAAATCATTTATTTTATTTTTCATTTTGAGTGAAGCTTGTGTCATTACAGGCCCGGGACTGTACAGCACAGTGGACGCTTACGGCTGGCTCCCAGATCCCTTCAATTGATTTGATATTTGTTTATTTTTTTGCCATGTCTATATTCTGACCTGTCTGCAGATTCATCTTGTAGATTTTTGTTTTGCGTGTAGTGTGGTCCTCCTGCACCTACTATTAGTGAGTGATAATAAACTGAACCTGTGTGATAATAATAAGGAATATTTAATTATTAAGTATTGGTTATGTTTAACAAAAAGGACATAAATACAGAAAAACAAATATCATCGGCAGTTGTCCCGCCGGCAATTGTCCTGCTCCCGCAACACAGCACACCATCCAATTCCATAATCTAAATATATACGTGACTCTCGTTTGCTTGTTTGTCTGTCGAGGTTGGCAGGTCGGGCCAGGGGAGTGACATCTGGTGGTGTTGCACTACTACTACCGCTTTTGGGATTATACTACTTCCGGTTCTAGACTCTACCCTTGCTCGTGCAGGTGATAATGTATCGTAACGTGTCATAAAACATCCTACCATATGTTTTGGAAGTTTACACACCTAAAAGTTATTATGCTAAGAAACATCATTCGTCGTCAGAAAATTTTACATTTAGGCCCTATTGGCTTCTGTTTTTCCAATGACATTCATGCTGAATAGTTGCCATAGGTTGAAGTCTAAGATCTTCTGTTGGTATTTTCACTAATTAATCTTTGGTCAGCCAGACGTCAAGAACAGGTCCATAAGAAGAAACCGGAAATAACCCTGGCAAGACGTTCGTGGCCTCTTTCCGTCATATTATGACTCCATTACATTTATTATTCTATAAATGACGAAAATAACTCTGTTCACTCGATCCTAATAATATTTTCTTAATGATAGTCTGAAAGTGGTGACAATAGACGATACAAACTATATGATGGTGCTTTTAATGCTCTTATTTTGATAAAAAGATATCGATGTTAATGTTGTGTCTGCAAATAAAAATGTAAGCATTATATTCTAATGGTTTCGATTTTTTTAAAAACCGTATCAGATAATATTATTATTGCTTTATAGTTACTCTGGGCTACATCATTAACTTAAATATCAAAATCTTCAAGTCTATTGTGGAAATAGTAAATTCAAGTTCTTACATCAAAGATCCATCGGATCCATATCGTCGCAGAACCAGGTTTTGTATTAACCAGGAACAAATAAATTGGTCAGGATACAGACGATGTCCATACACAAGGGTGCCCATCCTTGTACGATATGTGACAAGGTGCTCCATAACTTTTATCAACTTAAATGAAAATTTCGTTTATATTTTGGAGAATAAAACTCCTTAATTTTGTGTTAAAAGTCCTTAAAATCCTCTAATTAGGGCCGAACAACTAACTCAATATACGTGATGCGTTTTCGAACAACTTAAACCCGTCAGTCTTCATCTGGAAATGGAGACCAGTGTTACAAGCTGTATTGTACGGTGTCTGGAAACCAGATTTTTATTTTATAAAAATAACTTGTAGGTAGAATTTATCTTTCGTTATCAAAGTACAGCACGTGGGTAATGCACTGGATAGACCTCTAATGGAACGACAATAGATTATCAGGTCACCCAAAGACAAAAAAATTACCCAAAATATTAAAAGGGTTACTTGTCCGGATAAGCGGTTTTGATGTTCACGTGAGAATGGCTCAATATTTTGAATTGACATTTTGAGACAAGGTAAATACACCATTCCTCGGTACTTTGGCGCTTAAATTTCATATGTATACACGGATTTTTATTTCCGAGACTGTTAAAATCGGCATGGTCCCTTTAAGACTATATTTATACATATAATATAGTGACATAGGTGCAAAGAACCACACATGTTATTGTTAATATACGATATAGGCTATTGACCACTACACACATATTTGTTATATTTTAATTATAGACTTAATAAATCCCACATGTTACTGACAATATAGAGGTTCGGATGCGTTCCGAGAACGAGATGATTGCCTTTTTGCATACGTCATCAGTTCTCGAGGGCTTCCCCCACGGCGGCAGGCGAACTCGCTCGTGAAAACGTCTCTGAAGTCGTAAGTGAATTTCATGGTGGTTTAATTCTATTTTAGTCTTTTTTTTCATAATTATACCGAAACACATCCCCTTCAACTATACCAGCCTTTGTTAGGCATTGTTTGACTGGTCGAATAAAAGCGAAATGATAGAACGAATCGACACTTTCAAACTGCACTTTCTGATCTATTTAATTTTCAGGACCATCGTCTTTTGTCAAGAATGCGGATTTTTCTGAACCGTGAAAGTGCGTCACCTCTCCCGAGAACGACAACGACAACGACTTCACTTCACCTCGTTCTTGTTCTCGGAACGCATCTGAACCTCTCTAATGCTGTTTCATACCGGTCAACCAATTCCATACGATGACATAATATGTCTATATGGTATATAAAACTCCATATACATTGTATAATGATGTGAAAACGAAATTTTGAACTATAAAAAAGAAACGAAATAGTATCTGCGTTTTAATCAGATTGAATGATGACCTTGTGCATGTGTTGAGGCCCAGCTCCTTATTAGACGGTAGTATTTAGTTTCCCTCCTGTTTGACGGTATAAGACCCAGTATTTCCTGTAGATTGTGAGACCAGGAAAGACGACGGAGATCAGCGTATGGACTCACCCGAGTTCGGTTGCTGCTTTGACAGAGGGGCAGAATGGTTGCGTTAAAGAAGTTTACCTTCCTGGTATAGCCTCTAATAATGCACCGTGTTTATGTTCTTGTTTTATGGAGGAGGGGATCAATCTGGTAAAACACATCTATATTTCATTTTTTATACCATCGATGCCCTCCACGAAATTTTAAACTATAAAAAACGAAACGAAATAGGATCTGTGTTTTAATCAGATTGGTAAGGGATCGATAAAGCCAGATTTATGTCAATTGTCTCCTTTCAAGAAGTGTTTATGAAGGTTCGGATATCACGAGGTCTTTCCGATTGAAAAAGACATTTTTGCAGACATTTCACAACAGTGCTCATTATCAAAAAGCTTTGCTATAAAGTATCAGTGTGTTGCTTTTATAATATAATTGGGAAGAATTGAATAACAATTTACTTATGGCGACTTGTTAGTAGCCAAACATATTCATCTAAAAGGATATGTTGGATTTACAAAAATCGAATTACATTTCTAGTAATATGAATGCAGTCTATTAATGCACTCCTTGTCAATAACAGATTCTTTCAAGAGTTATCGGAGATTTTTGTCCAACCTGCTATTTCGTCGCGTGGTTTTGAAATATCAATAAAATCATATCGAATATAATCACAGCGTATAATAACATAAAATATATGAACTCTATATACAGGGTGTACAACTGAAAGGGAATATTGGTACTTTCTTTTTCTTCTTTTTTATTAAACAAATCACCAAGGAAGTAAGTTATCTAGTGTTGAATTTAGTCATACTGCGTACACGCTAAACTTGCTGTACAGCTGAGAAGCCCACAATCCAGCGGGGCCTTATTTTTGTCTTTCTTTCTTTTGAAATCGCTTAAAAATTAAAAGCATGCATGTTTTACATTTTGGTGTGGCGATTCAAGGTTCTGTTTTTGTACACACCTTTGTGAGACCTGGTTCTTCAAAATCATAAAATCATTGCTAAACAGTCAATGTAATTTTACTTGGAAATAAAAAGCTGTGCCATGGGGGATTTGGCCTAGTCGTTGGCTTTATAATAAAAGATTTTAAGGAGTGAAAAAAGGAATATCCTATACAAAATGATTTCATTTCTCTAGAATTACATACAATTTGAAATGAGTCACTAAGCTGGCGTTATACAAATCATGGACAATTCCTGTACTCCACCTTCTAATCTATAAACATACTGCTCAGTAAATGTTTCAATATTGTAAAATTAAATGTCAACCTGAGACAATATTATTGTCAAAAACACTTTCTCTTGGTAAAGGTGAACGGTAATCGACGACAGTTTTAACTAAACGATTCAAATTGAGAGAATTATTCGGGGAGGTACTGACGTTATTAACCTTTTGGCGGGAAAGAGCACGTGTCAAACAAATGAACATGTGGAATTTAACGGGGTGGGGTCTAACCTGAAAAAGGTCAACCGACCCATTTTATATCAAAACACCAGTAAAACAACAAATAAGCATAATAAAGAAGGCGAAACACAAATATAGGATGTTCATTTTTTTCGCTTGTTCCGCTGTTCTATCGTAACCATTTTTTATGCCCTCTGCCTTTCTAAATTTATACAAAACGTCTACTTTTAGCTTCTACATATGTATTTTAAAGTCAAGAATGAATAAAATATAGTTTACATAGAGTCTTACTTAACGTTACCGGCGAAATTAAATTACAATCGAAGGTCTGAGAAAAAGCAGCTCATCGATTCCTCTCGACGAGACTATTCTACAAACTGTGTCGTCGCTGTAATAAAGATGTTTTTTTTATATATACGCAATAACAAGTAATAGCTTGGAGAATTCTACGCAAAGATGTGTTTTGTTGCATCTCACTCTCAGTTAATAAAAAAAAATCCTTTAAAACTATGGTTTTCTACGCTTGCTCGGCTGCACGCGACCGTGGATTATGGATTACTTGCCCGGATGTGTCATTATTCAGTATTATAGAGGGCGATATCGTCTTGTCAATGAAAAGATAAAGCAGTAGACGCAAGTTGGTGAAATGCTTTGCAGTCAAATAAACTGTTAAAATGTACCTGGATTGTAAAACAGATATTTGAAAAAAATGACAGTTGGATAATACTGTTTTACAGTTATTCTGCTAAAAGGTAGGTCATGTTTTCGCGCTTTTTCTCTGTTCTTTGGTCAGCAGGTGGTTGCCAGGCTATGTATCACTATCGTATAACGCAGGCAGTTGTCAATTATACTGATACTAACAGTGACTGACTATAGTACATCATATTTTACTAGTATTCACCTTTTCAGTAACAAACGAAGATACGCATTTTAACAAACGTTAGACTGTCATACTCTGTCATAAGAATAGCAATTGTTGCACTTTATTTTTTTCGGTAGTGACGTTCTGTTTAACAGATAGACAAACTTTACGTTTATACAAATGGGTTTATACAATGACAGTACCCCGTGACAGTATCACCACTTTGTCAGTTATATGGTTATAAGTGGGGTATATTCACAGTTAACAGATTACATACATGTACCACAAACTCAAAAACTAAAACTTGAATTATGGGCATAATTATTGAATGAATTGCTCTTTGATTATTGAAAAACCTGCAGTTATACATGTGTTGAATCAGAAATTTCTATTTGATAAAATCCCAAATTATTATAGTCCAAGCCTAGACCGGATGCCGCTGCCCTGGCAATTATACTTTCAATAAAGATCCAATTACAAAAACAAATTTCCCTCATAAATACAATTTTTGGATATGTTTCACTTTTTGATGGTATTATTTTCGCCGTTGATGTATTTTGATATTGTATATATAACCATATTGATAATTGTTACCACGATAGCTTACACAATATAATAAACACGCCCATGCCATTACACAAATATATCAATAGACAAGAATTATATTATATTCATACATAAATACTCATTTTATGCATTAAACAGAATATAGTATGCTCCCTAATTTTTATACAATTTGTTTTATATTATGTAAAATTGATGACTTTGTGTTAGATATATTGAATAGCGGCATATGCAGAATTTTCAAAATGATGGTGGGGTCTTACAAAATTTTAAAATTGCTTAAAGGGGCATTGTTGAATTTGGTGACTGTAAAATGTTTTGCTTGTGAACTCCGGCTCTACAGCACCATGAAAATAATAATAGTATGTATATCGGCTTACACATATTCTTAGAAATAAATTGCAATGTCTCAATCTGACAAATATGTATTGATGGTGTAGGGATAATAATGTACAAACTAGGCTAATAAATATGATTCTTATATGCTAATATATTATCTATATGTAAATCTACATGATATTAATGAACCTGTCATAGCAGTAATGAGGTTATTACTCTTGGGTTTCATCACTGTAAGGCTAGAATATGGTTTCTTATTGTCCATAGATATACATGTACATCCTAGTTTATCAATAAGTAATAATAAGTCAGTGACAGTTATTAATTTGATGACAAATGGAATGAATATCAAGCTAAATGGGGATAATAAGGATTAAAGCCGTCATTTACCTTTTTCGCACAATATCAAATTTTCACGTCTTGTACTCAAATTGATTATTTAACATTTGATTATGGAAACAAAATTAAAATATGAACGGTAGATATTCTGGGATTAATATACCAGTTTAAAATGCAGTACGCAGGGGTGTAAATATGAGGGTGTGTGCCATTCCCAACGGAAAAAATAAAGTCGGTTTAAAAATAAGTGCAGTCGATCTCAAAATTATGCATCAGCGACTAAGTGAATTAGTAAGGTAACAATGCTAAAATACATGTAGAAGAAAAAAATCCCAAATACCTAATATATGTATGAATATGATTGCTTTGATTGGATATCACAATATGCACCAATAAGTGCAGTCAGTCTCAGAAGTATGCATTGGCAACTAAATGAATTAATGAGGTAAACGATGCCAAAATAAAAGGGAAAAATCCCAAATACTTACATGTATATGTATGAACATGATTGCTTTGATTGGATATCACAACACGTGCCAGGTTTTCAAAGCTCAAATTAATATAAACTGTTATAATGTCTTCAGTAATGAAACAGAAACGCCTCAATGTCTCTTGCTTGTGAGTGTGACTTGACGGACACGATTGATCTCGACCAAAATTGGGGGTCAAACTTGACTAAGCGCAGACGTTTAATGAAAATATGAGGACATAGTCATATCTTTGCTCATTTATGTATATTCACCACAACAATATTATATCAAAGATATAGGTCCATGTAAATGATGTAATTATCACTTTCAGAATTTGTCACAGATTCACAGTACTTTGTACGTTCTTGCAAAATTCTTAATAAATAACATGAATTCCTATGTGTACTACTCAATTTTACTCATGTTATAAATGTTTTTTGACCATCAGAATTCTGCAAAATCTTACCCCAAAGTCCAGGAAATGGCATTTAAAGATTTCTCTGGTTGGTAGCACAACATTTCGGTCCCGCGACCTTTCTGAAACAGGTTGCCGGCGGTTTGGACTCGCTTGATTTCGAACTCAATAAATAAATAAAACACTGTTGAATATTATATTTCCTTTCAACTTATCCCTGAGTCCGAAACGTCACCTACCGAAGTCTGAAACATCGATGCCATATTTTTTTGAGTACGGAATTTCACGAGTTTGAAATGTCACAGAACCGAAATGTCAAACGTTTAAAAGCACCAGTCTGATACCTGGCTTTAGAAAGGATTTATTTCTCATGTAGCTTATCCTGGCCAAACGGGTTCATTGGCTTAAAATTGCCAGGTTAGAGCATGCAAATTTTATCACCTTTAGCCATCTGAACACCATATTAGACAAGTAAAGTGTTGCCTTCAATGGTGTATTGTTTGGGAGGCGAAACAGTGTTCCCTCACAATTTCAAATATCTCCAAACTTTCATTTCTCTAATTTTGTCAGACTTTTAATTTCCACCTGTAACACAAATATGAAATAAACTCATTAATTGTTTCAATGCTTTTTGCTTCCACTGATGTAGTGCTAGCCCATAAACATTGTACCTTGTATTGAGATTTTACGGTATTTTCACATTACCGAATTATAGCTGTTTTTGCCTAGGTGCCTCCACCAACTTAAGATTCCTCTCTTTAGCACTACAACTGGTTGTATCCGTTATTGTTTGGACTAAAGACTCAAATTTTTACAACAGTAGACTATTCAGTGGCGTTTAACAATTTACTGTAGTTACGTACATGTAGGATTCTTTATACAAGCTTCAAATTTTAAACAGAAGTACATAATCAACTACTGCATTAGCAGAATTTGTTTTTAGTCTTTTTAGAGACTTTAATGGATTATTTACTTCACATAGTTTGATAAATTGGAACTAATATTCTTTTGGTTTTCTTCAGATTTAAAACGTGTTTGCAATTCTAAAACAAAGAGGAATGGCCAATTATATTTAAGCCACAATCTACCAGAATTTCTCCACATAATTTCAGTGGAGATTTGATTTGTACTTAATTTAAATGATTCACATAGTAGTTTACAAGCCATAAAACTCCATTCATTTTCTTCTTTTTTTTTGAAACATCGAGTAAAAGAACTAATTTCCTGCTCTTAATTCGATTCTGCAGTAATATGGCTTTTCTGCATGAATTCAGCTCTGAGACAGAAGCTATCTGGAATACCATTACGGTATTTGTGGGAGAAAACACAACTGTTACAGTATTTTCTGCTGCACAGAAAACAAAGCCATTGAACAGAAACACATTTTTATTTGACCAAATTAGACTGTTTAGAGAAGCAATAATTTGAATCGAAAATAAATACCAACATTTATTTTAGTTGGTTGTTCTATTTGCACAAAATTCCCACCATCATTTTCATTGTGAAGGTAATTTTAGATCATTCATAAAAGATGCCATTAGATGATGTATAGTCACGGAAATCGTTGAGAGAATTTCATTCTTATTTCTGATAGTTACTTTAAGTTCCTGCTCTGTTCATTCGTTAGACAATTCAATGTATTACAAGTGGCTATGTACAATGGAACAGTAAAACATTATTAAGATACCGTCTGCACTTATGATGGTGTGAAATTAGTCTCAAGTGTATAGCAGCCTATTGATATCTTAGCTGCACGTATCACATGTCCATTTTGATATTACTTTTGGTTTCTGTGTTCGGTTAACTTCGCTTTGATGCTTTTTGTCTATGGAATGAGGTTTTGTACTCAACTTGTCAAGGTTATTGAGTAAGTACAATTTACACATGTTCAGACAAAAAAATTGTTAGCAGAAATCAGGTTTTAACAACAGAATGATTCTAGTCATCTATCCCCGAAAAAAAAAAACAACCCTGATGCGATCATGTGACTCACAACATGTTTGAAATCTATATTTTTGCTTTACAACATCTTACTTCAAATTCCGCTTTTCATTAGGTTTGTTAACAAGAAAAGTAGGACTTTTAAATTCTTTTCATTTCATTTCTATTACCAATTCTATAAACTTCACTACATTGGAACCCCTTGAGCCTTTCCTACTGAAAGACATGTCTATATAATGTTAATCACAGAAGTTCAAATAATTCTTATTATTGAAACTACATTTATACATATAGCTACAGTACTGTGATTATAAAAATACATATTTCAGCACCCTTTGCCTTTGTTCTATTCCAGTTATTTATCTAAATGTACAGTGTCAAGCAATATTTGTCAAATTTCTGGACAGAATATTATTCAAGGCAAAATACCACAAAAGTATAATAACATCTGAGATTCATTTTAAATGACACTTTAAAGTTAAACATACTTGAAAGAAATGTGTTCTATTCAAATTCATTGTTTTAGGAATGGCTTATGTTAACTTTAAAATATAGTGTAGGCGATCTACCGTCCATGAATAGTATTGACCTTAAAAATAGTTTCTGTGAACTTTAATAAAGATCAGAATATCACGAAACATCCTTTGTCCATTTTGATGAACTCTTTACCATCATATGTTTGTTATATAGAAAAGCCTACAGGGACTATAATAGTCTCTGACTTCTATGTTTTTTTTATTGCTGCTTTAGAATATCATCAGTGAAATCTCTTGATACATGTATGATGGGATACCTTATGATTTCATCTCTTTTTGTTCCTTC